TTTCAATGCTAAATTATATGCTAATTCCTTTGTCAAGGCGCTTTGTTTCTTCTCACACAGCTTAAAGGTCGTGATCTCAGCGTGGCTTTCTCACTTCAGCGCTGTCCTCCAGACAGTCTCGTCCCCTTCACCTGACGAAGGTCGCTTGTGTTGTGGCCGAAACGTCGTGAGAATATTATTGTGTTATTTTTATTTTATCAATTTATTATTTTATTCTCATTCTACGTGACTTTACCGAAAGAACCAAAGAAGAAGAAGAAGTAGCTATGTTAAAGTCAGAGTTTACATATCAACAGAGGCATTTAGTATGTTGACGCTAAAGAACTGCAACTACCCAACTATCATAAAATAAACCGATGTGAAAGAACTAAATATAAACTACATCAATATAATCAATGTACTCAATATATTTTCCAATAAGTTGAGCTATTAACATAAAGTAACATAATTCATAAGGCAATATATAGTATCGCAATTGCACAGCGAATACACAGCCGTGTGGTACACAGTAGGGTTGGCAGAACAACACATAGTGCAATACCACAAGTCCAACATTTCTATAGTCCAAAGTATAATTCAACAAGAAAAACATCTTAAAGTGACTATGTGACTGTGCAAACAGAAAGTCCATGGAAAAAAACAGCAAAAATATTCCTGAAAAAAGCACCGTACACCAACGCTGTGTGCAAAAATTCCCAGTGGGATGCAAGTCAAACAACAACAACTACAAAAACTTAGATTAAGGCCATCAGTCTAACTCCGTACTACAACAAAACAAACATGTTTAAACCAAAAAACGTTTCCAAATCACCAAAAAATAAAGCCATAATTGCAACGTAACAGTGATCACAAGGACTGTGACCGAATTTTTACAATAAACTACATAAATAACATGTAACACCAAATCCTAGAGCCATAGCTGTCTGCATGAGTTACTCCTCAACAATAGAAGCATCGGTCGGAGTATCAAATTGTTCAATGCACCTTTAAGATCGGCACGCTAAATCAAAATACAGATAATACTTTGCAGCGTCATCCTGAGCGAAACATTTTATTTTATTTTACGTCAATGTATAGCAGTGGCAGCTAGGGGTGTACAACTCCTCTAGAGCAGTTTTGAGAGAATATCTCATTGGTAGTGATTCAAGTTGCAGTTTATTGGCAATAGCATTCCATTGCACAGTGACGGTGAGTCATTGTGCATTGCAGTTCTACGTCGAAAAGAGTGGCGGTTTCTTTTTTCCTCGGCGTTGGCACCACGGAAAGCGGCGAGCGTTGTTCGGACGGGCGGGTCCATCTATGCTCGGAACGGAGGAGGGGAGAGAGAGGGGGAGGCGGCCGCGGTGCGCTGCTCTGTGTTGTGTTGCGGCTGTGCTGTGGACTGGACTGCTATGCATTGCAATGTTGTACCTTTCAATCTAAACTACATTGTATGGTGTCGTATACACAGCCCAATGTGGGCTCTAGCATCGTGCATTATATTGATGTGCCTCCAGCTGAACTTTTTTCTGCATTGCACGACTGTGCGCTGTGGTATGCACTGCCATAGACAAACCACACCATTGAATTATACTTTGGACTATAGAAATGTTGGACTTGTGGTATTGCACTATGTGTTGTTCTGCCAACCCTACTGTGTACCACACTGCTGTGTATTTGCTGTGGAATTGCGATACTATATATTGCCTTATGAATTATGTTACTTTATTTTAATAGCTCAGCTTATTGGAAAATATATTGAGTACATTGATTATATTCATGTAGTTTATATTTAGTTCTTTCACATCGGTTTATTGTATGATAGTTGGGTAGTTGCAGTTCTTTAGCATCAATATACTAAATGCCTCTGTTGATATGTAAACTCTGACTTTAACATAGCTACTTCCGTGACCAGTTACATGCTAATTCCTCACACTAGCATCATGCTAATCTCCCAGTTACATGCTAATTTCTGACTTTAACATCCTGCTAATCTCTCACATTAACACAGCTACTTCAATACTAAATTCTTCTGTTGATATATAAACTCCTTTGTCAAGGCGCTCTGCCCCTCCCACCCAGCTCAAAATACGCTGCCAAGCTCAGCAGTGTTCATTGGAGCGCTGTCTTTCCGACAGTTCTGTTTCTTCACCTGAGGAAGGCTACTTGTGTTGTGGCTGAAACGTCGTGATCATTTTATTTGATTATGTTTTATTTTTATTTTATTACTTCCCTTCTACGTGACTTTCTCGAATGAACCAAGAAGATGTTTATTGTAGTTTATCAGGTAAGGTCCACTGAGCTATGGTAGCTCTCTTTTAGAAGCGATCTGGCCACAAATAATAGCTCAACGAAGTGGCTTATCATCATGTGTAAATGTGTAGCAGCCGAATACTCTAAACGCGTGATGCTGATTCTAAATGCGGAGGGACAAACCGAAGGGTCCGGAGAAAAATCCACGCGACCACGGGGAGAAAGAGAGAGACATATACGAACTCCTTTATACCAGGCGAGGTAGTTAACATCTCGTCACCGTGGCTGGTGATGCTTCCCGAGTGGTTCTTGGCCTCTGGAGGTGAACGATCCACAGCTGTGTCCAATGCGGTGAAGACGCGGCACGAGGGGCGGAAGTCGAAGAGAATCCGCACAACGTTTCCTCACAGTTGGAGTGAGTTCCTGCTGCGCGAGTCGGCTCTGAGGCGTTGGTGCTCATCCACTGTCCACAGCTCGTGAAGGACCCCCTGCTCGGGCAGTTTGGGGCAGTTGCCCTCCGGCAACAACGTTCTGCAGACTGAGAGTGAGTGTGGGGTCTGTGTGTTCTCCCTCTGTTCTGCAGACTGAGAGTGAGTGTGGGGTCTGTGTGTTCTCCCCCTGTTCTGCAGACTGAGAGTGAGTGTGGAGTCTCTGTGTTCTCCCGCTGTTTTGCAGACTGAGAGTGAGTATGGTGTCTGTGCGTTCTCCCCCTGTTCTGCAGGCTGAGAGTGAGTGTGGAGTCTGTGTGTCCTCCCCCTGTTCTGCAGACTGTGTGAGTGAATGTGTGGAGGCTCGTGAAGGACGCTGCTGCTGGGCAGTTAGAGGCAGTCGCCCTCCAACAACAACTGAGGACAGAGGAGCGACGCTCACAACAACGAGCGGACCGCCGGGCGGATAAAACGCAGAGAGTTGGCACAGATGGTGTATCTGCCAGTCCTCAGTCAACCCACGGCACCGGGTTCTCTTCCGTGACCTCCTGTCAGCGAACTTTCAACACTTTACGTGGCTTCAAAGCGCACCGAGCATGGGACAAGCGCTGTGGTGACGTCACCTCCACTTAGTAGTGAACGGCGGTTGTTGTTGTGGTTGTTGTAGTTATTGTGGTGGTACTCATTCATTTGTTTTACCGACCCTCTGGGGAGGAGGAGGATGATGAGGATGACAGGCGAGTGAACCCTCCGTGCCAGGATTTGCTTGCAAGCCGTTCCCGCTCGGAGCAGCCACGGAATTGGCGATTTCGCGACACCGCATACAATGCCCCGGGAGGGATCGATCAAAGCTAATCGGTTACCGATGGACGCGTGGGGAGGGTATAAATGGAGGCAAATAAAAGTGGCGGAACTGTAAAAGAAGTTAAATTGCAGAATATCCCCCGCTCTCTTCACCCCGAGCCCCGGTTTAGCTGCACGCCGATGGTTCGAGCAGGCGACATAACGCCATGTAACGGGCCCGCCTATTGCCTCACCACCACCTACAATAATAATAATAAAATAATAGATTTTCCCGAATAGAGATTATTTTTTATTTAGATTAGATCGCGTAAATATATAAATGTGTCGTTAACCCGCCACCACCCGACACAGCCCACTTAGTAAGGTTTGTCACGTAAACAAAACGTGCCAATTTGCTACTAGTTCAGCACACCGTTTGTGTTGGAGAATAAACCCACAAACATTTACAATCCCAGTACAACCACCCAAAAAAAACCTCTATTATGGATAATGTTGGTCGCGAAATCTTACTACGTGTTCAATAATATATCAAATTTCTGAATATTGCATCGAGAATGAAAGTGAGATAAGCAAACAGGAGCTGAACTCAGCGATCCGCACGCTTCTGCAGATTCCCGGCAGAGAGAGGCAGAGAGAGGGGGGGGTGGTCTCGGAGGGGTCGTGTAGAAGGGGTGGAATGTGGAATTCCTCTCCAGGAGCTCGAGAATGCCGATGGAGAGATGCGGACCTTTATCCAGATCTACGACGTCAAGGAAGACGAATGCACGCCGCAGTAAAACACAAAATCCAGACCACGAAAACAAACCCATGAGAGACGACGGCGGAAATGAGAATAGATTATAGACTCAAGCGTGGCTCCTGCTCTGAGCCGGACTCGTCTGGGGGGAGGGGGGGGGCATTGTGTTTGCATTGTGGCTCAGCGTGCACAACTCACACTCTCTCCAGGGTGGATAAAGTAAGTACCGCTGAGTGTCAAGTCAATAATGATACGAGTACAATTGGTATTCACACCACACGGATAGCGCAAGGCAATCACGAAGGCGCCGAGTTAGTGAGTGACGAGAGAACGAATGAATAAGTGCGTGGCGAGGGAGCGAGTGGGTGGGTGAGGGTGGCCACCTTTTCCATCAACCAAAACCGGGACGTATTTCTCAGGCAGCATCAGCTCTACCAACACTGCGCGCCCTTACTGTCACAATGAGGCTCAACTCAATACCAGATCTCGGTACCCATCCTGCCACCCGCTCGCCAACACCATCCTGTTCGCCACACCATCGCACAGATGACGGACGCAACTCTGATCCGTGCGTGGTGCCGGGTTGGCTAGGCCCATCATCCCTCCAGGGTCGACCCAAATAAATACCACTTAAATTTCGATTTAAAGCTTTCGTGACTGCAGGGATTCATCTTCTGGGTTCTGTCCGTGACTTTACCGAAAGAACCCAGAAGATAAATACCACTTGTTGGGGTGAAATCAACGGTGGTTGTCCTGTGGATAAACTCGTCATGGAAATGTGGAATATACACACCCCGCAGGTACAGGGCGATCGTGAAGCCCATGAAGCTGCAGCGCGCCGCGCCGCGCCACGCTCTGCGCCGCGCCCTGGCGCGCGCCGCCCTCATATGGGCGCTGGCGCTCGCCCTGGCGCTGCCCGACGCCGTCCTCTCGCACGTCCACGCCTTCTACCTGGACGACGACGACACCGCCGCCGTGGACGATGAGGAGGAGCCGCGGACGGGCGACTCCGCCTCGGGCGACGGGGGCGACGCCACGGGGGCGGCGGCGGCCCCCCACGGTCGCACGCTGCTCGTCTGCGTGCCCTTCCCGCTGGACGGCGACGCGCAGCCGCTGCGCATCCACGCCTCGCTCCTCTTCCTCGCCTACTACGCGCTGCCCCTGTGCGCTATCTGCGGCTACTACTATCACATCGCGCGCGCGCTCCTCGCCAGCGCGCGCGAGCTGCCGGGGGAGCGCGGAGGCGGCGGTGGAGAGCACGCGTGGAGACAGGTGCCCGCTCTCAGCGCTCGCGCTCCTCAGGGTTGCACCGCCACAGTGCGGCAGGGTGTAGTGGCGGTGGTGGTGATGGCGAAGTGGTGACACTCGCGCCTCTCAGCAAGATAGACCCTGGGTTCGATTCCCGACTCGGGTGCCTTTACTGTGTGGAGTTTGTATGTTCTCCCTGTGTTCTGCGTGGGTTTCCTCCGGGGTTCTTCGGTTCGAATAGCTAAAACATGGAATTGGTATTGGCCAAACATCAGTTGCCTGCTAATGTCTAAAGTCGGATTACACGAAACAACATTGCCCCAACCGGGGAAACGTGGCAGGACCCTCCTGAGCGCGTGTCTGGGGTGGTGGTCCTGTATGGATGAGCTCAATGCGCGGCCCTGCAACTTCTTACATAATACATTTATATATTCCATCAAGGTCCTTATGATCTTCTGATCTCCAACTGCTCAGCGCTCCCAGGTCAGGTTGCGCTCTTTTGGTGATCGGTGAGCGTGGCACCAACGCTATGGAACGCCTTGGCACTTGAAATCAGGCAATCGAAGTTGGTAGATAAATTTGTCTGCTTTGAAGCCCCATCTCTTGAAAGTGGCCTTCCCTCTATAGTTTGGTCGGTTGCCCCTGGTTCTATTTTAGTTTCCTGATTTTTATGCATTGCGCATTTGGGATCCAGGATGCAATTTGCATTAGGCATTTGAATTATTATTCTTGCTCACGCCCCAGCTGGTGGAAGGGAGTCCAATGGTCTAAGACTCGAGCTCCAGAGACCGCGTCACTAGAGCAGAGGTTCTCAACCGGGGATATGCGGACCCCTGGGGGTGCGTGGCATTGTCCCAGGTGGTACATGAGTCGATTTATAAATGTGTGAAATTATTTCATACGTGAGTTAATGTTGAATAATCATGTTGTATGAATCTTCCAATATAAAATAACTATGATAAAATGTAAATCCATATGTAACCTAGAACTATATAAATACCTTTCTAAACTCATTAATCGTAAACAAAGTTGTTTCCAAGAGTTAACCAGTGAACAAATTACGTGATGCATGCAGAGCGTCCGTTGATTTGTTTTATTCGCTTGCAGTTACTCACTAGTTAGGATATCTCACAAAATCGACAATTGGTTAAAATATCTATGTTCATTATTAATGCATTTATTGCCTCTGAGCCATGTTGGGTCAGTTGAAGGGGGTACGCGGTTGAAACAAAATTCAACAAGGGGGGTAACAGCAGTAGCCAAACAAGTTGATAACCACTGTTGTAGAGGGTGTTTTGGACCTCATTCCACGTTCGCCAGATGTATATATATTGTATATATGTTGTGTGTGTATAGTGACGCACTCACTGACACTAGGAGTAGGAGGCACTCTATTTATTAACAGCCTTAACAGGTTACAAAGGTAACTACAGCTCCCAGTCAGGGCAGCTGGCAGACTGCCTGACTGACGACGCCGAGATGGTGAAGACGCAGACGAAGACTCCAGCAGCACGACGGGATCCCACTCCAGGCAACAGTCCTGAGCCTTCGCTCGGGGTCCCCTTTTATCCTCCCAGCGTGGCCTCGCTCCGCCCCGGCCACGCCCCCTTCCAGAACCTACTAGAACCTACTAGCGGGTTCCCGGGCTTACCTCACCTGCCCCCTCTATCACCTTTCCCCTACATCCCTCTCTCTGGTTTATCACGTGACCTGCTGTCAGACAGGGCTGCTGCAACTGCAGATTCCCTTCTCTGCCAGCAACCAACGCTATGCTACGTAGTGACCCATTCCATGCCCCTACACGTGTCTATATGTTGAACTTCTTTCGTCCTTCTCGCGCACCACGTACGGTGCGAAAGAAGTTTAACACACGTACAGGAACATACAGCAGCCAACCGTGCTAATCGGAGGTGCGCGGGAAGAGGTGAGAGCAGGGGCGCAGCTCCCTTCAACGGGTTGGGGGGGGGGGCTATCAGAGATCCGACTGTGGCCCCCCTCCTTTCTCCCGACTCACTTTTTATTGAAATAGCTAACGAATTTTTTCGATTTAAAGCTTTCGTGACTGCAAGAATTCATCTTTTTTGGTTCTTTCGGTAAAGTCACGTAGAATGAGAATAAAATAATAAAATAAGACAATCAAATTCTCACGACGTTTCGGCCACAACACAAGTAGCCTTCTTCAGGTGAAAGAACAGAACTGTCGGGACAACAGAGCTTGAATGAACGCTGTTTTTTTCACATCGGTTTACTTTATGATAGTTGGTAGTTGGAGGCCTTTAGCGTCCATATACTAAATGCCTCTGTTGATATGTAAACTTTGACTTTAACACAGTTATTTCTGTCACAAGCTAATCCCTCAGCTATTTCAATGCTGATTTTTTTTTCATTTGTAACAAAAAAAATGTGTTTGAAATTTACGGTTAATTGTGGGATATTTTCTTTTGAAAATGTTTTCTCAACACTTGTATAATTTGTTTATCCGTCGATTCCCCCCCCCCCCCCCGTGGGCGACTGAGCCCCCGACGCGTCGCAGAACGCTGCCACATACACCCCCCCCCCCCCCATAGTTGCGCCCCTGGGTAGGAGTACCCACACTTTACCCCACCAGACTCGATTAACTGCGGCGTATCCATTACACTGCTGAGGGGGGGGGGGGGGGGGGGGTGGGGGGCAGAGGAAGGTGGTGGTGGAGGGTTTAAAGGATCGTTTCCACTGCGCGCCAGGAAGAGTCCCCACACGTGGGGATGGTGCAGGGGTGGGTGGCTGACGCTTGGCGTTCTTCACTCTCCCTCGGCCAGAGCCGTCCCTATGGTGCGGCCAATCGGTCGTGACCGCCCCGGGCCCTGCGCTTTAGCGGGGGGGGGGGGGGGGACATCGACGTCGCGGTGTCAGATGTCATACCGCCGCTTTAGTTTGAAGGCGTCGGGGAGACACTTCACAGTGTGCGACCTGGCTGTCACAAATGATAGCTCAACGAAGTGGCTCATCGTCATCGTGTCTAAAATGGATAACAGCAGCGAAACACTCTCAGTGCGTGACGTCGATCCTAAACGTGGAGGGGGAAAACCGGAGGACCCGGAGAAAAATCCACGGGGAGGGAATGAGAGACACGCAAACTCTAAATAGACAGCAGGCGCCAGGCTCAAGATCGAACCCACGACCTCCTGTATACCAGGCGAGGGAGAACATCTTTCCACCCCTTACATAAACACAGTGGCGAATATGTCAACCGGTTCTCGGCATTCCCTCATCAACTCAGCCTTAAATTAACATCTGGCACGGTGTGTCAACATGAGCACAGGCAGCAGCTGGGCGTGGAGTTGGCCGGCCCCGTAGGTGCCGTGCCACCCTTAATAGGTGCTCGCACACAGCACTTGCTCTGACCGCGTCTGTCGAGGCTACTATAAACGGGTGGGGCGTGGGGGGTCTTTGTGTCCGTGTCGCCGCAGGTGCAGGCGCGCAGGAAGCTGGCGCGCACCGTGCTGGTGCTGGCGGCGCTCTTCGCCGCGTGCTGGCTGCCCGCACACCTCCTGTACCTCTACCGCGCGTTCGCCCCGGGGCAGGCGGCCGCGTCGCGCGCTCACCTCCTGCTCACCGTGGCGGCGCGCGCCCTCTCCTTCTGCGGCTCCTGCGTCAACCCCATGGCGCTCTACCTGCTCAGCGACGGCTTCCGCGCGCACCTCCGCGCCGATTTGTCTCCGTGCCGCCGCCTCTTCCGCGGTGTCGGAGGCGGCGGCAGTGGAGGAGGAGACGCGGGAGCCGCGATGCGACGCAGGCGGCGGCGGCGCAGCACGAGGCTCGCGTCCGTGCTGACGCGCGCCACGTCCGTGCGCAGCACGAGCAGCCTCGCGGGGGGCAGCGAGCGCAGGGGGGTGGCCTTCCAGCTGAGCGTCCCCGACATCGCCCTGCTCGAGCCGCACGGCCCGCAGCCAGCCGCGCTGCAAGCGAATGCGTGACCAGGGCGGAGAGGGCCGGAGGCCGTCCGTGGTCGTGCCTGCTGTTGTGCAGCACCCCTGGTAGTTACCTCGCTGCGCTGGACAGGAGTGCGACGTAGAGTAGGCAGGGCGATTGATGACGGTCGCCTCCGATCACTCTCATGTCGGAACAACCATGTGTACGTAGGGATGTTGAACTTCTTTCGCACCGTACGTAGCCAACCGCGCTAATCGGAGGTTCGAAACGTGGTCACTGTTCCGTTGATTCCTCCGCCCGTGTTGATAACTCGGTCTGCCAGGCACTGACAGCCTCGTCTCCTCCACGCAGTGCTTGACCACCACACTGCAGATCACAACAACAACAGCCACCGTTTGTCATCACAGCGCCTGTGCCAGGCTAGGTGCACTTTGAGGCTGCGTGAAGTATCGAAGTCCCGCTGATGGAAGGTCATGGGAGTGCCATGGGTCGACTGACTGATAGATGCACCACCGGTGCACCCAACTGTTCCAACTCGCTGCTTTTAACCGTCCGGCGCTGTGCTCGTTGTTGTGAGCCTCACTCTTCTGTCCTCCGTTGCAGGATGCTACTGCCCCTGCACGGGCCTCCTCCACATTTTCCGATCTTGACACCCGTGGTAGGGGCCGTCCATAAATGACGTCACGCACCTGGGGGGTCAGACATTTGTGACGATGTGTGACGAGGGGGGGTTGAGAAATGTGACGTCACATTAAAATGCGCAACTTTAAATAAATATAGACAACACGTTCTACTTAATTAAATAGACTTTTTAATAAATGTTTTCTCCTACAACATCAGAGTGCAGCGCCACATTAAATAGTTTAAAGCGATTTGAAGCATGTTTTTTTTTTTGGGGGGGGGCAGAGCTTTGTGACGTCATATTTGAGGGGGGGTCTGACTTTTTGTGAAGCCGTGTGACGAAAGGGGGGGGGGTTAAAAATCGTCCAAAATCGCGTGACGTCATTTATGGACGGCCCCGTATCAGTTATCAGTAAGTCAACTCAGCTCCACATCCTCGTGTACCATATCGATCCATCTTTTCCCGAGCTTGTGCCGCGCACTTTTAGCCTCCTCTATCCGGCCAAACAGAAGCTGTTTGGGCATGCAGTCACTGGGCATGGCAGAGGAGCTCACTAATGGGATGGTGTCCAGATCTTTTAAAGATCTGTGAGCTTGCACAATCCAGCTTGGCTTAGCCCAGAATGAATCCGAGGCAGGCCAGCCTGAATGTTTCAAACAGGAGCAGATGTTCTTTCAAAGGGTCCAAGTATTGCAAGCACAGGAGAAGGGTATGACCGTGGCCGAGAAGACCTGGAGCTTATTTTGGAGCGACTGGCCAGGTAGCTTCCACACAGCGTTGCGCAGCTGATGAAAAGAGATTGCCGCTCGACACTGATTCGGATTGAGACTTCTGCCAAACTGGAACTAGTCATAAGCACACTGCCCAGATGCATATTCTATGGTTCTTTCGGTAAAGTCACGTAGATAGAAAAATAATAACAATAAAATAATTAAAATAAAAAATGAAAATAAAGTGAATAAAAATAAAAAATCACGACGTTTCGATCGCAAAACAAGCGGTCGTCATCAGGAACAGGGAGGTTCGCCTCGGAGGGAAAGCTGTAGCTGTCAGTGCGGCTTGGAAGCGTATTATTAAATAATACATACTACAATTCCTTATAGGGGAAACAATACTAATTAACGGATTACCAACGTAGCATATAATCACAATAACACACATTACAACTAATTACTAATCTACAACTCATTACTAATCATAACCATTGACTGATTACCAATCGATTATATAATTAAAATCCCCCCCCTCCTCCGCCTCAAATCACTGCACCTGAAATGAGTTAAATGATGACGTCACCCTGCTGCTGCTCTATTTAAGACCGGGAGCAAGTGAAGGCTTTACCATTCTGGCGAATTGCCCGATGATGCTGGATGTAATTACCAGCGAAACGTCGTTCTCAAATTTTAAATGATGTTGATTCACTCTTCAACACACCGGTGGGCTAAAGTAGTGAACTATTTGTCCTTTGTAAACGTGACACATTTTTTACTGTTTGGCCGTGTCGGGTGGTGGAGGGCTACGACACATTTATAAATAACGCGATCTAGCCCAAAAACCTTTATCATGGACAAATCAAGTAATGACCCAAAGTGGTTGAAGACATCTTTCCAATGACTGCTGATTTTTTTAATTTTAACCACACTGCCCAGGTATGGGAACTCCTCCACTCTTTTCACCACTGCCACATCGCTCGTGGGAAGTTGAAGGGGTGGGGTGTTTGATGGCACAAATATCCAGACAGGTGCTTAGTTTTAGCGGGGCTGATGGTAAGCCCATGCTCAGCTGCAGGGTCTTCAACTCCTCGGAGCGAGTAGCAATTACCAGATCATCAACATACATAACATGGTTGATTAATAGGAAGCCATCCCCTGATGGCATTCGGGAATCAATCAGCCTCCCATTGTATGCATACCAGATGGAAATATCTCTGTTACAGCCAAGGAAAGCTTCTCGAACAACGTGGTCAGACACACCGACTCATTCACTCACCACACTGCAACAACAACACACTGACCCACTCACTCACCGACCACACTCCGGTCACATCAACACACTCACCGACTCACCACACTGCAGGTCACCTAATTTATCTTTCTGCTTCTTCGCTTGCATTGCTCCACTTGGGAATTCCCTCTCCCGTCATCATCATCAACGTGTCTTCTCCACTAGGCTCTTACAACAATAGCCCTGCTCAATTCAAGAAATGTGTCGGCTCTTACCGCCAACAACTTCGGCAGTGCTGTTGGTTGTTTGGTCGTTTCGCCGTCGTGGGGCCTTGTGCTGAGTACCCAGAGTGCTGGGCACCCGGAGTGCCAAGCTCTCAGTGCCCATTCTCAGCCTCGCTGCGTACACTCCGATTGCCCATCTCTCTCTGGGCGGCCGGCGCTCGCGCTCCCCAGGAGTGCGGACACATCGCCCGGGGGCTCTCACTTTGACCACCCGCTGGATTTTTTTCCAGATGTCATGGCAAAAGAGCCACAGTGAGTTATCCGTGCTCATCTCCTGTTTACAACCCCCGTGCAGAGCCAACTCCTAACCGACCAGGATTTGAACTTTCCATTGCGAGCCGCTCGCTTCAACTGCTGAGCGTGCAGCCGTGAGTTGCAGGTCGCGTGACAATCTGGGGGGCAGCGGTGCGAGATGCTGCCGCTGCTGCCGCTACCAAAAGCAAAGCGCTTTTATTCAGCGACACCGCGTCCGTCACTGACCTTGAGACGAAGCCCCCCTCCCTCCTCTCCCCGTTCCAATTGGCAGGTGCGAATTCCTAGAACACGACCCTCGTCCTCTCTGTCGCGCCGCGTTTACCGACGTCCACAACCCTCCGTCAAAATGGTAATGAGTAGCCCGCCTCGCCCAATTACCATCGCGCGCAGAGCGGCTGTGCTGGTGGCGAGCAGTGCGCTGCGGTTCACGCCGGTTCGACTCCAGCTCCAGGGCACGGCGGGTTGAAGCACGCTGGGCACGGCTCTCAAATGGCCCTCGCCACTCCAACAAAGCAGCGTTAAAAGGCTTTACCGCAGGTCGGGCGATTTAGCTGGTGATGTGTGGTGGTGATAAAGCGTAGATACACGCAACCCTCACAAGCCGCACGACTTTCTTATTCAGTAGTTTGGCTTCTCGGAGTTCGTCCGTTCTCCCAGAGCCGCCACGCCGATGCGTGCCCAGCATCAGTGGCACCGACTCGGTTATCCGCGCCATGTCCACGGATAGACGGAGTCCGCCTCGACAGTTGTTGCTGTTCGAGTCATCCCGTGTGAATAATCCGCGATGAAAACATTCAACTTTGGTTAATTTACACCGTGAGTTGGCCTTCAGTCGGCTACGGTGCGAGGAGCGGGGGGCGCAGCGCGCGGTGGGCGACGCTTGAACCCGCGAGCCAAAGCGATGGATGAGAGCGCATGACGAGGATTGGCAGCAGGGTCGTTACCAGGTCATCACTCTCACGACGACCATGATGATGACGATGTTTGCCGGCGGTGGCATTCAATGTTAGGGTCTGCCTCGAGTTTAGGTTTTCGCCGAGCGCGATTCGCTCACGTGCGTTGTTGTTGGGACTTACCCAGAACGTCAGCCGCACGCTCTACACCTTTGTGCCCAAATAGTGACGGCCCCTATAGAAGAGAGGCTGGTGAGAAACCTTCGCTATTGTTTGAGATGGGAGTCGAACCGGCGACCTCTGTGGATTTTCAAGTCCAGTGGTGCTGCTGCTCACCATCGCGCTGCGGCAGATTGCCTTTCGTGTGGCTGAGACGACGCGGGCGGTGTCCGGGTGACCGAGTCCTCAACACGGGCGGAGGAATCCACCAAGCGCAGCTGTCGAATGTAGGCACGCCGAGGCATCGCCGTAGCCTGCTGTAGATATTATGTTGCGCGCTCATTGATTGTACGATTTCTCATGGCTGCACGCGTCTTATTGGCTTCTCTCGTTTTTGGTGAGCCGGCCTCGTTCTGTCTCAAGGTGTAGAGACAGATCAAGTGTAATTTGTTCAGCCCAGGCGAGAACTCAAAGAGACCAAGATGAGTCTCATTTTGCAAGATTGACTTGGGCCACCAAAAAGACAAAAAACAATAACAGAGAGGAAGAAAAGTCCAACAACGAAGGAAATCGAATTGAGAGCAAAAATAACCAATACAGATCTTAGTAAAAAGCAAAGCGCACCGTGCGTACCTGCGGGTAGCCGTGGGTAGTCGCGGATAGCCGAGGGTAGCCGCGGGTAGTCGTGGGTAGCCGTGGGTATTCGCGGGTACCCGCGGGTAGCCGCTGGTAGTCGTGGGTAGCCGCGGGTAGTTGGGGGTTGCCACGGGTAGCCGCGGGTAGCCGCGGGTAGCCGTGGGTAGTCGCGGGTAGTCGTGGGTAGCCGTGGGTAGTCGTGGGTAGCCGTGGGTAGTCGTGGGTAGCCGTGGGTAGTCGTGGATAGCCGCGGGTAGTCGTGGGTAGTCGCGGGTAGTCGTGGGTAGACGTGGGTAGTCGTGGGTAGCCGCGAGTAGCCGTAGGTAGCCGTGGGTAGTCGTGGGTAGCCGTGGGTATCCGTGGGTAGTCGTGGGTAGCCGCGAGTAGCCGCGGGTAGCCGTGGGTAGCCGTGGGTAGCCGTGGGTAGTCGTGGGTAGCCGTGGGTAGCCGCGCATAGCCGCGGGTAGTCGTGGGTAGCCGTGGGTAGCCGTGGGTAGCCGCTGGTAGTCGCGGGTAGTCGCGCATAGCCGCGGGTAGCCGCGGGTAGTCGTGGGTAGCCTTGGGTAGTCGTGGGTAGTCATGGGTAGCCGCAGGTAGCTGCGAGTAGCCGTGGGTAGTCGTGGGTAGCCGCTGGTAGCCGAGGGTAGCCGCGGGTAGTTGTTGGTAGCCGCGCCTAGCCTCGGGTAGTCGTGGGTAGCCGCGGGTAGCCTCGGGTAGCCGCGGGTAGTCATGGGTAGCCGCGGGTAGCCGCGGGTAGTTGTGGGTAGCCGCGGGTAGTCGTGGGTAGTCACGGGTAGTTGTGGGTAGCCGCAAGTAGTCGTGGGTAGTCACGGATAGTCGCGGGTAGCCAAGGGTAGTCGCGGGTAGCCGAGGGTAGTCGTGGGTAGTCACGGGTAGTCGTGAGTAGCTGTGG